AATTTCTGCTAATTTGATGCCCTTAAATGATATCATCATTGGAGGGAGGGGAGGGAAATTGCTGCAAAAGCCTCTTCAACATAAAAGTTTCCACTGCTCCCCGTTTCAGTTTTGTGTCAGTCTGCAAAACCTGAGCAGCAGTGTCTTGGCAAACAGATTGCTTGGCAACCTGTGAGCAAAACCCAGCAGAAAGGGCAGTTTGAGATTGGATTTGTGCAGCAAGTGATCAGAAAACCAGGCTCATCGTTGCCACTCATCAAAGCAATCTGGATAGAAACCAGATGCTTGTAAAAGGTGATACAGATTCAACAGTAAGGAGGACAAGGAACACAGGTTTCAGAAACAACATCTCAGTCTTGGTCATATTGATCAACATAACTGGTCTACTCTGGTCTCCAGTTGGGAGGTCTGGAGACACACCATCTATAACGCTGCTGATGCCTTTGAGAACGCACGCAGGATCACCCTTGAGGAGAAAAGACAGCACAGAAAGAATCGTGTCTTGCAGAATATACCACCTAAGGAGTCTTTCTGCTGTGCCTTTTGCAATTGGACATGTCTATCTCGTATTGGCCTTTTTAACCACCCACGTGCTTGCAACAAATGTGGGTAGAGCCCTTCCCAAATCTTCATTCATGAAGCCTAGCCATGATGATGATGATGAAGTTACAAGAAAAGGTGGAAAAGCTGAGCCACTTTTCTGAAGGAATAATAAATAACTAGAAAGTTACATAGAGAGCAGGAAGGGATTTCTCTGAGGACATGAGGATTTGAACCTGCTACCACTATCTAGCCCTGGAAGAAGGGAGAATAATTAGAAAAGATGGAAAATGTTTTTAGTCATAGAATATCTTGAGCTGGAAGGGATCCACAAGGAGCATCAAAGTCCAGCTCCTGGAACTCCTCTTTGTGAGCACCAAATGGCAGAAGGTATAGTCTGTTTCTGGTGCTGAATCTGACTGGCATCTTCTCAGCTCCTGAAAACCAGCACCAGTAGTCCCACCTCCACCAATGGCTCTCACTCTGCCAAGTAGCGCCAGACAATCACAGACATTTTAAGCAAGTTTGGGTTTTCTTTGTCACTGTCATGTAACAGTGTTGTAGAAAATGCAGGCTCAGCCCACTCATCCTGATTCTCCTAAAGCACAAAGTTAAAAATAATATCAAAGAAGTAAGAGGAAGAAGGGGGTGGAGACAAAAGGAGACTGTGGAATTACAGAATGGTTTGGATAGGAAGGAACCTTAAAGATCACTTATTCCCACCCCCTGCCATGGGCAGGGATGCCTTCCACTATCCCAGGTTGCTCCAAGCACAATCCAACCTGGCCTTGGACACTTCCAGGGATAGGGCAGCCACAGCTTCTCTGGACAATCTGGGCCAGTGTCTCACTGCCCTCACAGGGAAGATCAAAACAAGTCTCATGTTTTACCCCCTGCTGGTGACATGGGAGCAGGTTTCTGGTCTGGTGTCTTGGACCATCTCCAGAACTTGCAACTGATACAGAAATTCATCCCATCATCTATACCCATCCTGTTGGCACCAACCAACAGATCGCCACAGGACTGACCAGAAAATTGCTCATATCCTTAAAGTTTCTTCTGTAGGGTCTAACTCTGAATAAACTATGTCGACTGCTGGGTTTTCCAGCCATTAATCTTTTTTTCTGGTTTACCAAACACAAACACAAATAATTCTTGGGTTGTTTCAATGTCTAGGGTTGCAACCTTTGCATTCTTTATATATTTAATTTTGTACACTTTAAAAAGCAATGTTTTCTGTGTAACAGGCTGCCCTGGTCCATAGTCCCTTTGAACACCCCTGTGGTCAGGGATCCAAAGAAGTCTGACTCACACTTTCAGGTCAATACATCCACAGGTCACAGCACAAGTCAGGGAGGAGGCATCTACCTGAACAGAGATCACTGCTGTGCCCCCCATGCTGATACAGGGGTCTCTGCACCAGCATCCCATGGGAGTTGCTACACCAGGATCCCTGCCTGAGCTGCCAGAACAGGCACAGCAAGGGGAGCAGTGAGCAAGAGACACGGAAAGGAGATTAGTGAGAGGCAAGCAGAAGAGGAAAGGGATAGGAAAGGCCATGAGGCTCAGATACCAACCTGTGACTGGAGGTTGCTTAGCCCAGCAGGTTACAAGAAAACACTGTGGCACTGCTATTACATCTACAGATGTGTCTTCTCCTCCTGGTGAAACAGCCAACTCCCTGAAGGCTGCTGTAAGCCACACCGAAAGCCACAGATGCCCAACTGGACAACCAGGGGCTGGATCTGTTGCTGAAGTGTTATAAAACCAGCAGAGTCTTTAGCAAAGGCTGGTCCTCAGCTGTGAACTGTGCTTGCTCTCGGTGGTGATATGACTGTGCTGTTTACAAGAAGCACAAACTCATTTGCCGTGTTCTCAGATTCACAGAATCACAGAATGGTTTGGGTTGGAAGGCACCTCAGAGATCATTCCAGTTCCAGCCCTCAAATTAATAGATTGCTGGAAATGAAAGCCAGCACCTTAAATATTACCAGGCTCGTGTTTACAACCAGCTGCACTCTAAGAATGATGCCATTAGAAGGAAACAGCCGCCGATGCTCGTTCTGTTTAGAAACAATCCCCACATGCCTCCCTGAGAGGTGTGTGGTTTGCAGTTGGTAGCTCTGGCTGCAAAACCTCATGACCCACAGGTGAGACTTCCTTAATTAGCTACTTGTGTATTTTCTTAATTAGATACTTCATCATTCATCCAGGTAGGATGACTCTTAGGGTAAGGTGATGGATATTTAGGAGTATCAGCACAGGAGAGTACACCCATTCAGCTGCCATGAACCTTGACATGCAATATCAGAGCAATCATGATTGAGAGATAGTGAGTAGTTTTCTCTCTGAAAAACAAGTGAGGACAACCCCACGAGGTGGGTTTATTGAGAGGGAAAGAAATAGGTCAGGAACAAGAACCAGGTTACGATTTCCTGGTCAGTGGTTACTGTAAGAGCAGAGCTGGTGATACACGAGAGTGAGCAGAAAACGCCTCCAGGGGTTTGCTCTGCACTGCATGGTGAGTTTGGTGGTCATAACGAAACAGCTGCTGCCACAAATGAGTACAAATGCCTGTAACTGAGTGAGACTGTAATGGACTGTCGAGCCAGCTCCCAGCGACCCACAGGGCAGAGAATACACCTGATCAGCAGAAAAGCACCAAAGGAATCATCACAGAATCATAGAATCATAGAATCATAGAATCATAGAATCATAGAATCATAGAATCACAGAATGGTTTGGGTTAGAAGAGACCTTAAAGATCATCTAGTTCCAAACCCCCTTGCCATAGGCAGGGAAACTTTCCACTAGACCAGCTTGCTCTAGGTCGAGTCCAACCTGGCCTTGAGTTGTTTAGACCCAACAACTCACCTGACCTACTCCGGGGAGGATCTAATTTTAAGTGGTTTCTGTGCAGTCAAAATGAAATATGAGAATGCATTCACACAGGTTTGCCCTGATTTAAATGCAGGGGAAAAAGGAAATAGAGGCTTAAAACCTCCACCAACAGAAATCAAAGTCAGAGGTCTGAGAGTCTGGCTCAGCTCTGGGTAAAAGATGAAGTAATGTCAAAAAAAAGCAAAATTGCAGCAATTTGATAAAATAATAAATAATTATAGAATCACAGAATATCCTGAGTTGGAAGGGACACACAAGGAGCATCGAGTCCAGCTCCTGAACACTGAGTCCTTTCAGTCCCTGCTCCTTGTGCAGCCAAGGGAGAGAAAGGGCAATTCTTCCTTTCCTAAAGTAGGACATCCCAGCTCAGCAGACAATCCTGCCCTGCAGGTACAATTCCTCGTTCCCTTGATGGGGAGGGATCCTCTTCCACCACATCAATCCCAGCACCTATTATTTAGCTGGCTAAAGATCAGCAAGATGAAGCCATCTTGTATTTCCTTGCATTCCTGCTCAGCCAGCCATCCAGCTGGTGGAGAAGGGTGCTTGTCAGGATGACTTCTTGTCTGGAAGACGATAGGACAGGCTCCCAAATTCCAGCTGCAGCCTTGGAATGTGATATCTCCCATCTCATTTCCCACCATCCCCAGAGACCATCCCCAAGGTCTGGAGAACCTGGCTCCATTGCCATCTCCCCCAGTGTTGCCTATAGAACCTCCCTTTACTCCTTTCAGCCTCTTTTTTTGCATCTTTTCATCTATTTAGGCCGCAAATTCTCTTCTGCTCACTCTTACTCATATCACTGTACCGGAAAATGCCTGATCTTTGCTGAAATCTCTTGGTGCTACTGCAGCACAAACCCATTCTCTGTGTCTGCTTTCATTTTGAGCTACCACAAAACAAGTTTTTTTAAATAAAATATGATTTTTTATTCAGCAGATAAGTTATTGAATAAATACAGGTTAAAATTATCCTTTTTTTTTTGTACTCTGAGCACACACAAAGCCATAAATACAGTCATAAATAGAAGACATAAATAGAATTATAAATATTTGATTGACACAGATAATATCTTAGTGAGCAGGGGTGGCCAGAGAAGGGAAAGGGGTAGGGGACGAGTAAGGGAAGGAGAAGGTGCAAGAGGAGGAATTTTTTATGGCAGTGCTGGTAGGTATGTATTCATTAGGGCAACTTACTGCCAAGGACAACTTTTGCAAATATAACTCCTTTGACTCACCAAACTGATAAAAACTACAATGAAAAATAAATTCAAAAAAGCACTGCTTTACCCTCTCACTGCTTGGGGTCACAAACAAAGCTTTTTCTCCATCCTTCTCCCTCCCCTCCATCACCAGCTACCAGCAATTCCCATTCTAAAATCCATCAAGCAACAACAGCTGAATCATGAGGTAATTTCAAGAGGTAATTTGTTCAGATTTGGAAGGGCAATGTCGGGTTGAATTCCTGGGATTCGCGGTGGGCACCTGTGGGATCTCACCAGAGGGGTGTCTGTAGGATTTATTGCTTCTTCCCAGTGTGGCCTGCCCTAGTAATTCCTCCTAGGAGTGGTGGTGGATGACTGGAGTGACACAGGTGCAGCCCACGGTGATGACCTTCTTCTCCAGGCGGTAGGTGGGCCGGCAGCCCTGCTGCTCCCGCCGCAGGACCAGGATCTCCTGCTTGATGGGGACGGAGTTGAGGCTGTGGTCCTCCTGCCCCAGGGGGCTCACACAGCCAGAGAGGCGGCACTGGGCATCAGCAATCACCTGGGGGAAGCGGTTGGGATCCTTGTCGAGCCTGGGGATGGGCACACAAAAAGGGATTTATGTCTTTGCACAGCACGGGTTGGCAGGATCTTCTTGTTCATCTCCATGGAAGCACCTTACTGTTCACCTGCGCATCCTCACTATGAGACCTGGCCAAATAATTTCCCTGTCCTCAACATTTTTTAGAATTATTTCCTAGAAATGGAATCAGTTTTGGGAGGGTAACACTGCTGTATCGTTCTTTGGGAATTGGGAATGGAGAGGAGCTGAGTTAAATTCAGAACTGATTGCAATTGCACAATTCATTTTTTTAATGGTTTTTTAAATGGTTTTAATTTCAGAATTCAGAAACTTCTTTCAGTTTGGAAAATTTAGAATTACAGTGGACTGACATCATTCTTTTCCCAGAGGAATAATTACTTTCATCATCATTTCAACCCCATGCAGTGCTATGGGCTAGAGGCAGATTGGCTGGAAAGCTGGAAAAGGACATGAGGGTGCTGGCTGACAGTGGCTGAACATGAGCCAGGTGTGCCCAGATGGCCAAGAAGGCCAGTGGCACCTGAGCTGTATCAGCAATAGTGTGGCAGCAGGGCCAGGGCACTGCCCATCCCTGTGCTGGCACTGCTGGGGCACCTCCAGTGCTGGGGGCAGCTCTGGGCCCCTCAGACAAGAGAGACATTGAGGGGCTGGAGCGTGTCCAGGGAAGGGAACAGAGCTGGGGAAGGATCTGGAGCACCAGGAGCAGCTGAGGGAGCTGGTGGGGGCTCAGCCTGGAGAAAAGGAGGCTCAGGGGGGACCTTCTCTATCTCTCTGACTCTCTGACAGGAGGGTGGAGCCTGGTAGAGATCAGGCTCTGCTCCCAAGGAACACGTGACAAGAGGAGAAGGCCTCCAGTGATGCCAGGAGCGGTTCAGATTGGATATAAGGAAAAATTTCTTCCCCAGAAGGGTTGACCAGCCCTGGCACAGCTGCCCAGAGCAGTTGTGGAATCACCATCCCTGAAGGGGTTTAAAAGCTGTATAAATGTGATACTTGGGGACATGGTTTAGTGGTGGCTCTGGTAGTGCTGGGGGAATGGTTGGACTTGATGATCTTAGAGGTATTTTCCAACCTAAAGGGTTCTGTGATTGACACAGGCTGACAAGATGATTAGAAACCTTTCCAGTGAAGTCCCTTTGCACTTCAGTTGGTCTTGGAGAAATCTCACACAACATCAAAAATCAGCATATGTCAAGAAGTGTTTGCAATATTTACAGGACTCTGGGCATATGCTGAGAAACAGCCATCGTTTGCCCCCAAAAAATCCTCTTTGTACACAGACATCACAATTTAGATAACAAATAAACAGTTTACCTGTAATCCCAAGGAGCGAGAGATCGGTTCCTGACATCATGGACCATCCTAAAGGCATGATGTGACTTGCTGATACGAATGTTGACTTCCACTGCTGTGGGGAATTTGAGATCCTTTTGGTTCAGGCAATCTTCACTCAGCCTCACAGAGGCACTGGCCTTTCTGGAACTTACAGTGAGTGCTAGAACCAGCACCAAAACCAGTGATCTGAACTGAGAGAGAGGAAAGTTGTCTTAGTTCTGTCCAGGCAAGAAAGGCAGAGCAGAAAAAGCCAAGTGTTGACTTGACTGGACTATCAATGGACTATCTTCATACTTATATTTGGGTGAGAAGGGCCAGCAGGAACAAACAGCACAACACCGCAAATAAAACTCATCAGAACAGGCGCTTAAATCTGATTTAAATTCTGATTCATAGTTGGCTTTGCACCAAGAAGAGCATCCCTCAAACAAGCTGCAAAAGGTCCTCCTCCACAGTCACACAGCACTGTCTTATGATCTACAAAGGAGGGTAAGGACTGAGCTGACCTTGTGCCTTAGAAATCCAGCAAGAAATCCAGCAAGAAATCCAGTTTCTCAGGACAGTAAAGACTGGCCACCCTCATCTGCTGGAAATAACCCTTTTCCCAAGGAAATCTGAGATTCTCAGGCCATCTCCAGTAGAGAGAGCTTTAGTGACTCACAGAGTCATAGAATATCCTGAGTTGGAAGGGACCCACAAGGATCATCAAATCCAACTCCCAAAAAGAAGACAAAATAAATGAAGAGGCTTTAAGGAAATCACAGGAGCTGATTGTGCTGCAAATGCTACTCAGGTTGAAATTTAAATTCATGGACATTCACTGAAATTTCAGCAATTTTTATAGCATGTTATCTGAGAAAAGGACTGTCTCCCCCAAGTGCTGATAACTAAGAGATAAATAAATCATAAATAGTCCACCATATCCTTGTCACTCAAACATCAAACACAGCTGCATCAGGCGGAATCAGCATCCCATTCAGCTCCCACCAGGACCAAAAGGGTTTCTTGTAGAAATCACAGGACCTGTACTGTTTTCTCTCTTGCAGAAAATATTTCTTAACCCTTATATTAACTGTAAGTACTTACCACAGCAGTGTAGCTGGAAAAAGCCATGGCAACCTCTCTGTTGCTTTGGGTGGATACACAGGGTGACAAGGCACGAGAGTTCTCCTTCTCTGAGGCCCCTTCCACCTACTTGTGTCTCAAAGACAGTTGTGATCTCCTTTTTATAGCAAAGTTCAGCCACTACCACCCTTTCCATTGCAGCACAGCTGCCTTACCTGACCTGAGGTTAAGAGCTGAATATTTCATTTCCTAGCCCACTTCCTTCCATCTACCCCCAAAAAGGGGAGGGCAGACACTACCACCAGAATCCCAAATTAGCCAATACTATTTCTTCAGGCAGATAAAGAGATAAGGAAAGAAAAAGAGCAAAAAAAAATTGTTCAGGCAGGTTTTTTTTTACTGCCTCCCACCCCCTCTTTCTAATAATAATGTTCTTTCACCACAAACACATGTGTGGATGCACTTCCACGTGCCTCACACAAACCAGACGGCAGAGATGAGCAAGCTGCAAAGCCAGGCACCCAGCAAGGCTTTCAAAATGAGGACAGCACATGGGACTTCACCATTTCACCTCCCTTGGCCCCAGCTGCACAATTCATCCCCACCTGGTCTTGGGGTTCCCTATGTCTTGCAAGAACAGAGCAGGGGAAGAATCGGAGCTACAGGGAATTCCTCCTGGGAGACCTTAGAGCACCAGGACCTGGGATGTCTCTCCGTTTCACTGCTGAGGTTCTGTGTTGACATGCTCTGGAGAGCTCCACAAAAAGCTCTGCTCTCTTTGAAAGGCCCTGTAAGGGCCCTGAGGGCACTGATCACCCCTGATGGCCTCAACCACCATCAGCAGGGCCCCCATTCCAGATCAGCTTTGACTCCAGTGCCTGCCTGAGCTGTGCTGTCAGAATGCTGCTTTCCTGTCCCTTCTCTGGCCTTGCCAACTGGGTGGACCTTGGAGCAGCATTTCTCCTGGATGGACTCCTTGGACATTCATGGTGGGGAATGGAAATGGGGAAGGGGCTGGAGCACCAGGGGCAGCTGAGGGAGCTAGAGGGGCTCAGCCTGGAGAAAAGGAGGCTCAGGGAGGACCTTCTCCCTCTCTGCAACTCCCTGACAGGAGAGTGTAGCCAGGTGCTGGTCAGGCTCTGCTCCCAGGCAATATGTGACAGGACAAGAGGACATAGTCTCAAGCTGTGCCAGGGGAAGTTTAGGTTCTACGTTAGCAAGAATTTCTTCTCAAAAAGGGTAATTAGACATTGGAATGGGCTTCCCAGGGAAGTGGTGGAGTCCCCATCCCTGGAGGTGTTCAAGGAAAGACTGGACGTGGCACTCAGTGCTCTGGTGTGGTTGACAAGGTGGGAATTGGTCAAAGGCTGAACTCGATGATCTGAGAGGTCTCTGCAGAGAAAAGCCCTGAGAGAAATGTTTCCCAAAGCCATGTAGCCCAGCTAGAAGCAGAGGACTGAAGTGTAGGACTCCTCACCCCAATTCATTTTCAGTCCTCCAGGAAATCAACAGGTTCATTACATTTTCGGTCCTACAGAAAATCAGAATCCTCTTACAAATCTGTGTAATTTTCCTGTGAGAAGGGACTAGTCTGGTCTGAATAATACCAGCAGAAATCTCCATCAACTGATGCTTTACATCACTGCAGGATGTTGTCATGATTTTGTGGTCTGAATCAACTCTCAGCTCAGAGACCGGAGACTCTTCTCACATAAGTTTTTCACATTTCAGGTTACTATGTTTACCTGAAGTAACACAAATCCTGTGACACATGTTCCTATTCTGACTGTTCTGTGTATTCACCAGCACATCTACTGAGATCCGACACTGAGCATTGAAGACCAAAAGAGGGAAGAATTACCAGAAATCCACCTTTTTTAACCCAGAATCTGACCTCCTTTTTTTCCCCTGAATGCTTGTCGTGAAAGGAAAGGGCATTGCCATGAAAAATGGGTTGGACTGTGCAGGAACAGGGTTAAGTGGAAACTGTTACCTGTGATGAAGCAATGACGTCACGCCAAACACCAGGTTATGAGCCCCCATCACCACTTTCCACTTACAACTTGTGCCTTCAGCAGCCTGTAAATTCAGCAGGGATTCCCTCTTTGACACGAAATTTCCTATAATTGAACTTGTCTTTCACTGAAGTTCACTGAAAATTTGATTGAAAGGAGTCACCGAACACAAATCATTAGAAGGGAGGAAAAATACTCGTATTCATGGAATCACAGAATGGTCTGGGTTGGAAGGGACCTTATAGATCATCTAGTTCCACCCTCCTGCCTTGGGCAGGGACACCTTCCACTATCCCAGGTTGCTTCAAGACCCATCCAACCTGCCCTGGAAGACTTCCAGGGATGGGGCAGCCACAGCTTCTCTGGACAACCTGTGCCAGGGCCTCACCAACCCCACAGGGAAGAATTTCTTCCTTAAATTAGGAATATATAGTTATCTCAAAAAGCTGTTCACTCCCACACATCGCAGCCTTGGAGCAGGGATTGGGACTTGGAAATAAACTATAAAATTTTAATTTCACTTAAAAGAATTCTTCTACTCTTGAGTTACTATAAGGAAACCCCACTGTTTGCACTGCAGGATTTGTTGCACGCAGGTTCAAGTTTTCACAGCACTTCAGGCATAAGAAATGCCTCATTTCAGGTTGGGCTTCGACTACAGAATCACAGAATAGTTTAGGTTGGAAGGGACCTTAAAGCTCACCTCATTCCAAGCCTCTGCCAGGGGCAGGGACATCTTTCACCAGATCAGGTTGCTCAGAGGACCTTCCGTAGCCTGCAGCAGCAAAGGGTTGGGATTGCAGCCTCTGAAAGCTCTAGATGTCAGGATTGAATGAATATTTCAGGGTGAGGTGGCTGCAGCACAGGGCAGGGCTTGTACTCCAGCAGCTTGCTCCTGCCTCTCTGGCCACCTCAGGTTTTACCCTTCTGACGTGTGACACCACAAGATCACCTTCTGGTTTAGAGCTCTGACCGATCACATCCACGCAGGAGTTACTCTGGGCAGGGTTTGCTCACAGGGCTTTATCACACCAGCAAGATTCATGGCCAAGTGCAGACCAGAGCCAAGACATGTGAATGGAAAATACCAAAATTTGAGGGGAAATGGGGCTGCCAGGTGTGCCACAGGTACCACCAGTGGAAACCTCTGCATGGGAATGTTGCTCCAGCACAACAGTGACCACAGCTCTGTGTTAGAGCTGTGGGACCTCAGAGGGACCAGTGGCACCTCTGGGCTCCCTCCACAGGTCAAGGACAAACCTCATTTTCGGCTGTCACCCCCTGAGCCTTCATCATGCTTTGGTCAGAGCTGTGGGATGAGTGGGAGGCAGGGCTTACATGATGCTGATGGTGCTGGTGTGGGGAATTCACTCCTAATCCCTGCAGTCTGTGTTCACCTGTCCTGCAGCAGAGAGATGAAATAGCAGGGTTGATTTCTAGAATCAGTAACCCTGCAGAGAGGAGGTGGACTAAGGGTTTGAGAAATACAATACTAAGGTACAATGTGACAAGGCCCATGAAGATGCTCCAAGGGCTGGAGCACCTCTGCTATGGAGACAGGGTGGGAGATCTAGGGTTGTTCAGCCTGGAGAAGGCTCCAGGGAGACCTTAGAGCCCCATCCAGTGCTTAAAAGGGCTCCAAGAAAGTTGAAGAGAGACTTTCAACAAGGGCTTGGAGGGACAGGACAAGGCAGAAAGGCTTCCCACTGCCAGAGGGAAGGGTTAGGTTAGATATTAGGAAGAAAATCTTGTCTGTGAGGGTGGCGAGGCCCTGACAAAAGTTGCCCAGAGAAGCTGTGGCTGCCCCATCCCTGGAAGTGTTCCAGGCCAGGTTGGACAGGGTTTGGATAGTGGAAGGTGTCCCTGCCCATTGGGCAGGGACAGTTAGACTAGATGAGCTTTAAGGTCCTTTCCCACATAAATCATTCTAGGATTATATAAAATAAGGTGCCAGGGAAGTCCTGGGTGCTGGACCAAGCCCATGGCAGGACAGATGGGCTGGCTGGTGGGTGAGGCATGAGGGTAGCAATGGGCAGGCTTTATGTCAGGTCCAGAGCTGTAGCTCCTCTTCTCAATCCCATGCAGCAGGGACGAGACCAGGGAAATTATTAGGGACACGACTTGAAAGGAGGTGACAAGGAACACACATGACCAAACTCTTTGGTTGTTTTTGTTGGATTCCCTGAACTGTTACTTTTCTTACCTGTGATCTTTAATATCAAAACAAGCATGATGTCACTCAAGAAAGGCCGCACACTTCCCTCAGTAGGGATCTTCCCTATTGAGCCCCTGATATTACTCAAGCCAGGTTTCTTAGAATTACAACCTCCATTCTATTCTCTCCTTGCTTTTCTTTTAAAATGTCACACACCCCATCATCATTTTCATCCACTATGGAATTTTTAGGTTTTTTTCTCCCATCAGTAAGAACAAAGCCTGTAAATTTAATATAATAGCAAATAATATTATATAAATATTATAACAAGCGTTACCTCGTTCCCTGGGAGAAGACTAACCCCCATCTGGCTCCCCCCTCCTGTCAGGGAGTTGCAGAGAGGGAGAAGGTCCCCCCTGAGCCTTCTTTTCTTCAGGCTGAGACCCCCCCACCTCCCTCAGCTGCTGCTGGTGCTCCAGCCCCTTCCCCAGCTCCGTTCCCTTCCCTGGACACACTCCAGCCCCTCAATGTCTTTCCTGTCGTGAAGGCCCCAAAACTGAAAAACATTTTTATAATATATATTTTTTTATAATATATATAAAAATACAGCAGATGTCCATGTGGCTGAGCATCCAGGAGCTGGATGATCTCTCTGGTGGTATCCCAGATTCAGGCTGTTGGTCAGATCCAGCTGATCCCCACAAACCTCTCTGCCTGTGGGAGTTGTTTGTTTTTCCCATGTCACCAAAGGCCCCTCTCCCTTTCCAAGTTTCCAGGATAGACCGAGGTGGCCACCAGCAACCAGGGGAGGTAGACAGCCACATCCTACCACTCCAGGCTATGGGATTAATAAAATAAAGCAGATTTATCTGCCCTGGAGCTCCTCCTGGTGTCCTATCTTGGGAAATTCAGTTTCAGCGGTTCCCCAGCTGTAAGGGCAGGAAAAACACCAAATCATAGAATCATGGAATGGTTTGTGTTGGAAAAGACCTTAAAGTTCATCTCATTTGGAGCCCTGCCATGGGCAGGGACACCTTCCACTGTCTGAGGTTGCTCCAATCCCCATCCAACCTGGCTTTGAACACTTCCAGAGATGGGGCAGCCACAGCTTCTCTGGACAACCTGGGCAAGGGCCTCACCACCCTCGCAAGGAAGAACTTGCTCCCAATACCCCATCTCACCCCCCCTCTGGCAGTGGGAAGCCATTCCCCTTTGTCCTGTCCCTCCAGGCCCTTGTCCCAAGTCCCTCTCCAGCTCTCCTGGAGTCCCTTTAGGCACTGGAAGGGACTCTAAGGTCTCCCAGGAGCCTTCTCTTCTCCAGGTGAACACCCCCAGCTCTCCCAGCCTGTCTCCATCAGAGACCATCTGTGTGTTTTACTCACCTTCACCAATCTTTGCAGTTTTGAGACCAAACACTGTCTGTGGGTCTGAGGTCACCCTGGGGAAGCACAATACATCCAATCAGAGATCTTTAGGAGGCTGCAAACCTGCAAAATCCCCTCCAAACCCACTGTCATCGCTGTGTTGGATGAGAGCTCAAAAGTCCAGCTTTTATAGTTCAACAGGTCTGTCTGCAGAAGAAAAATGAGGGAACCCTCTCCCACGGACACTGAGATGCTGCCAAGATGCTGCCAAGATGCAGAGCTCCAGGTGGGCAGAGGCAGGAGCTGCCCACATTTATTGCCCACCCATCTCACAGGAATTTCTGCATGTATTTGGTCCACCAAGCCAAAGGTACATGGTGGATGGACATTCCCAAGCCCATTCCTGTGCCAAAATGGGTTGGCAGCTGCCTGAAGGCTTTGCAGAGCAGCACAGGTCCCCAGAAGGGTGCACAGCTGAATCCCCACAAGTGGGTATTTTAAATCTAAGTAAGCAGAAAGCCATGGATTAAACAATATAAACATTTTTATTTATCAAATTAAGATTTATGGCATCCAGAAACAAGAGAACATGAGTTGTGCAGGTGTCTGGGGATGGGCAGGGACAACAGCAAACAGCCAGTGCTGTTCAGGGGCTTCTCCAAAGCTTCATCTCAAACTCACCAGGATGAAAAAAGAAATTAAAAAAAACTCCCAAACCTTCAGCAGCACTGGATCACAAGCAGGAAAGACTGGTCTCACTGTGGAGTCAGCTTTTCTTAAAAGCCATCCCCAGGGAATGATTCCAGGCTGAAAGGAGGAGCAGCTGGAGATGGAACCCATCTGTGCCAGGGACACATTCCTAGGGCAACTCTTAACACCCATGTCCATCCCTGGGGGCAAAAGTCCCACCAGGATTGTGAAATCTGGAAATCAAGCTGACCATGGGCAATGGAGCATGTCCCTCCAGCACTAGGAATCATCCTCCACAAGATGGGTGGGAAAAGTAGAACCAACAAGACAGGCATTAGGCATCTTTCCTTGTGAGACAAGCAGATCTAGCCTATGCAATTGGGGAAGAAAAGGGAAAAATAAAAGCTTCACTACTAGTGGAGCTCTCACATTGCTTCTCACCACCACTACTAAATGTTGGATTCCTAAATCCAGATTTTTTCATTAAAAAAAAAAAATCCACCAAAAAGCCACCAAAGCTAAAACCAATACATTAAGAACATTGATAGTTTGCTCTTAGGTTTTTCCTTTCATCTCCTTGCAGAAACAAGCCTCTTCCCAAATGCTCCACTTTGAAGACAGTTAACAGCTTCCAGAGCTCCTAGTTTTTCTTTTGTGCCAGCAGTGCACAGAAAGGAAGTGCAGAGACTTGAGCTCGCCTAAGTCCAGCTCAGCCAGATGAAGGATTCAGGAGAGAGCTGAAGGCAAACACAGAGAGTCTCCAGACTGAGAGTCCACAAAAACTTGGGATCTTCCACCCAGAGGCTCAGATTAAGAAGATAATGTCATCAGACACCATGATCTGGTTGTCATCCTGCATGTGGGCCAAGGCCCCCTTCACCTCAGCCAGCGAGAAGGGCTCGGGGTTGTCGCGGTTGATGGACTCCATCACATTCTTCAGACCCACAGACTGGGCGTGGGAAGCTTTGAAGACCTCCAGGAGAGCAGCCTTGAACGCTTTCAACCTGGTCAGAGGAGAAGTAATCAGCCTTAGAGACCACACACAAGTCTTTCCCCTCCTTCCCAGCCCAGGATGCCACAGCCCTTCCCCATTCCAGAAGCAGCACTCGGCAGGAAAGCCAAAACTGGAGCTGGGAGCACCACAGATGCATCTCCAGCAATGGGACAACAGCTTGGACCCACTGAGGGGGGTGGACATGCAGGGGTAGACTCCTCTTCCAGCCCCCACTCACCTTGGCTCAGCCAACTCCACCTTCTTCTCTTCCCCAGTGGCCGAGGCTTCGGGTGTCTTTGGAGTGTGTGCCTGAACTGGAGCAGAAGGAAGAGTTACCTTCACCCTGCCTGGTGTCCAAGCACCCAGACAGCAAAAGCTCTTGGCCTCAGGATGGGGCGGGTGACACCAACCTGCCTCCCAATATTGCTATTTCTGCAGCACTTTGGAAGTGAGTGGAAAAGAATTAAACAGCAACAGAATTATGGAATGTCTTGGGTTGGAAGGGACTTGAAAGATCTTCTCGTTCCAATCCCCTGAAACAGGCAGGGACACCTTCCACTAGACCAAGCCCCAAGCCCCATCCAACCTGGCCTTGAACACTTCCAGGGATGGAGCAGCCACAGCTTCTCTGAGCAACCTGCACCAGGGCCTCACCACCCTCACAGGGAAGATTTTCTTCCCAATATCCCATCTAACCCTGTCCCACACAGACAGGTTTATCTGGATTTGTGGCACTGGATGGTGGCTGCACCATGCCAGGGACCCCAGGAACAGAAGCACTGCTGCTCCCCAGGCTGTGCAGCCCCACCAGGGCTCAAGGCAGCAGCACCCTCAAGAGCCACGTGCCACCAAAACCCGAGGGACTCACCCTGTGGCATCTCCTCCTCGGCGTCACTGAAGTCGTAGGGGTCGTAGGAGCCTTCTTCGCCTTCCGTGCGTGCCTTCTTCCTCCTGGGAGAGGGGACAGGTCAGCCCTGCTCCAGCTGAACTCCCAGAAAAAATGGAGTGCAGGAGCCCATGCCCTGAGCTTCTGGAGGTGTCTGTCCAGGAACTCACAGGGTAGCTATGGCTCATAGGTAACCCACCCTATGGCCACAGATCCTTGCCCATGGCACAGGACCCAGCTGGCAGCAGTCCCAAGGGTTGTGGCTGTTATGGAATCACAGAATGGTTTGGCTTGGAAGGAACATTAAAGCTCATCTCGTTCCAACATTCTGCCACCTTCCAGTAGACCAGGCTGCTCCAAGCCCCATCCAACCTGGCCTTGAACATTTCCAGGGATTTTTCTGAGCACCTTGTGCCAGTGCTTCAAATCTTTGGACATGGCCATCCAGTCAGTTCCTTATCCATGAAATAATCATATCCCTCTACTACAAATTGGGGGTGACAATCCACCTGGCTCAGTAAAATCTGGATTATTCCCCCAAGGCCAGCACTGCCCGTGGCAACCTCAGAAGGGGCTGATGCCCTTTGCATGACGTCCCTCCCTTGCTCTGGCTCCTACCTCCTCGTCCTGCGCTCCTCCTTGGGCTGTGACTCCTCATCCTCCTCCTTCTCAGTCTCTGAGTCCTCCTCCACCGGCTTTCTGCGCTTCTTCTCCTTCTCCAGCACCTGTGTGGCAAAGGCAGGATGGACCAAGCCCCGTTTTCCACTCAAGTTGCTTTTACGGGACCAAACCCAAGGACCCAAGATCCCACCATGGTGGCCTCATCCCACATTATGTCCAGGAAAGGTTGCACCAGCAGCCCAGGGTGCTCAGCCTGCACCAAGCCCAACCTTTCCAATGAAAACCCCAGGATCCCCCAGGAGCAGAGGGACACCTTTCCCTCACCTTTTTGAAGTAGGCGAACTGCACCAGCTCCAAAGCTGCCTCAGCATCCTGCAGATCCACAGTCTTGTTCATCCTGGCCTTGGCATGGGCTGTGGAGAGGCGGATCAGGGTCTCCAGGGTCCGGGCCGTGATGGGGGAGGTCTGAGGAGAGAGAGGGAGGTGTCTCCGTGAGACTGACCCACACCACAGCATCCAAGGTGGGAAACACTCATAAAGGACAGAGAGGAGTCTGTGCCTCAGTTTCCCTCCTCCTGGCCCAGCAGGGAGCTGCTCCCAGGGCTCACCCTGGCGATGTCCGAGTTCATCTGGCTCTGGCTGCGCAGGCGGGAATACTCCTCCGCGATGTAACTCGCCGCCTCCTCGGTCAGCACGGGCTTGATCATCTTGGCTACATGGATGTACTTCCTCATGAACTGCATGCTGACGATCTTCTCCCTGTGGGAACACACGTACACCTGCGTTCTCCAAGGCGGGGATGGGCCTTCCAACCGCTTTTTTCCCCACCCTTCAGGGGCATCCAGGTGTGTAGGGAATTCAGCTCCAGATGTTCCCCACCTTCCTGGCACAAGAGATCAAGCCCAGAGCAAGGTTCCCTTGGCATCCTGCCCACGTACCTCCCCCTGGACCACTGCTGGCAACGGCAATCAGTCACTGCCTGGATACTCAAGCCAAACCCATGAACCCACAGTGCTGGAAACCCCCAGAGAGCCCCAAGGGACGTGGGATGAAGGACTCACTTGCGGCGGTTGGGCCCGTGCAGGAGGTCATCGTGTTTCTCATACACCTGGAGCTCCTGCTCCTCCTCCTGCGTGAAGTCGGGGTCATCCGTGGCCAGGATCTCCACAGCGCTGCCCAAAGGCATGGCTGGAGAGGGAAGTGTCACAGAGAACAGGTTTTTAGTCTCTGGAACAAATTCTAAAAGCCACCAAAACCAGTCCCCTGCAAAGGCAGAGGTGCTGAGCCCTAAGAGATGCCACCAAGGGGTGACAACCCACCAAGGAGGGAGACAGGAGCAAGCCAAGGTTACAAGGGACTCACCATCCCCGTCCTGCTCGTTGGGGTTGCGGTAGCGGTGCATCCGCAGGACGTGGTCCGAGATCTCCCTGTCCTGCTCGGGGTCCATCTGGTCCAGCACGATGAAGAGCAGGTCGAAGCGGGAGAGCAGAGAGTCCTGCAGGCCGATGTTCTCCATGGGCGTCTTGTACTGGTCGTACTGTGGAAGGACGTGAGGGGTTACGGGAGACCCTCATGGGCCGGCCCTGGCTGCCAGGGAGGCTGGAGGGACCTCCTCTGGCCAGGCCTGAAGGGATGGATAGGTGTCCTGGCAGCTGGACACCACACCAAAGCCAGCCTGCTGCAGCAGTACAGCTGCTTTTCCCCATCCTGCAAGGCGGCTGTAGCTCTCATTTCCAAGGAAAACAAATATTTTTCATGATCCCAGATCAGACACCAAGACTGAGACTCATCACCAGGATGAGGGTCCAGTGCCCTGCCCCAGACACCCAGGCAGAATCAAGATGAGGGGACAAACCAGGAGACTTCTCCCCTCCAGGAGAGCCATGAGCACAAACAGACAACAAACCGACAAGGTCCCATGGATCCCAACCCCAGTAAGAACCGAGTCACCAGTCTGGGCGATCTTCCGGGTTTTCCCAGCTGCCTCCCCCCAGCATCCTGCCCCAGGGAGAGGACTGACAGCAGCACTCACCCGGCCGTAGACGGGGTTGGCAGCGGCCAGGACGCTGCAGCGGGAGTTGAGCCGGGCCTGGATCCCGGCCTTGGCGATGGTGACACGGCCCTGCTCCATCACCTCGTGGATGGCCGTGCGGTCGATGTCGGACATCTTGTCGAACTCGTCGATGCACACCACGCCCCGGTCGGCCAACACCATGGCTCCCGCCTCCAGGCGCCGCTCACCTGGGATGGGGCGGGAGAAAGGAGGGTCAGTCACCATCCAGCAGCCCCTACACACCCGCCTTGCCATCCCCATCCACCCTTGGGATGAGGGTAAGCCTCAAGGAACAACCTTCAGGGTTGCCTATCTCCTGCCCAACTTGACAGCACAAAGGACACTTAGGATAAGGAGCAAGGCCACGAGAAGGAAAAAATCCAGGCTGCTGCTAGCCATGACATGGGAGACACGAAGTAGAAGAGGAGTAAAGAAGACCACCACCTAACAGAGGTGGAGAAAACATCCCAAAACATCACAACCATCACCATAAAGCTTCCGGGTGGAGCAAGTCCTACAAGCGTCACTGCAGAACGAACATTATAAAAATCACTCAAGTTGGAAAAGACCTCCCAGATCATGGAGAACAGCAGCCCTGGATCTCACAGAGTCCCTCCCAGGTGGTAATAAGCACCACCCTGATGCTCCTCACCGGTCTCAGGGTCCGTGGTGACAGCAGCAGTCAGGCCAACGCCGGAGGAGCCCCTGCCCGTGGTGGGGATGGCCCGGGGTGCTGTGCTGAGCACGTACCGCAGCAGCTGGGACTTGGCCACAGAAGGGTCTCCTGAAATGGAGAACAGCACCTTTAACAACCACATAATCACCTGGATAACAACTGAATGTCACCTGGATGCCATGTCTAGTTTGGGGGTGCTCAGAGCACGGGCGGGTGGAGCGGAAAGGGGACAGAAGTGGGTTTGTTCACTCTTCAGAAAATAAGGTACTGGATGGTTTTCTTGCCATCATCAAGAGGATGGGAGGAAATATAGAAGATGGAGGCAGAATTTTGAGAGGTGATAGTGATGGGTCAAGAGGCCAGGGGGACAGCTTGGAACACAAGAAATTCTGACTGGATGGTAGAAGAAATGTCTTTGAGGGTGGGCAACACTGGGATAGTGGCCCACAGAGGTTGTGGGACCCTCTATAATCACAAAATGGTTTGGGTTGGAAGAGACTTTAAAGATCATCCAGTTCCAAACCCTGCCATGGGCAGGGACACCTTCTACTACACCAGGCTGCTCCAAGCCCTGTCTAATCTGGCCTTGAACACTCCCAGCTTCTCTGGGCAACCTGTGCCAGGGCCTCACCACCCTCACAGCCAACAGTTCCTTCCCAACATCTCATCTAAATCTGTCCTTCTTCAGCTTAAAGCCATTCCCCCTTGTCCTGTCCCTCCAGGCCCTTGTCCAAAGTCCCTCTCCAGCTCTTTTCGAGCCCCTTTAGGCTCTGGAAGGGGCTCTAACCTCTCCCTAAAGCCTTCTTTTCTCCAGGCTGAACACCCCCAGCTCTCCTAGCCTGTCTCCAGAGCAGAGGGGCTCCAGCCCTGGGAGCATTGGCCCCTCTGGACCCATTCTAACCGTCCACAACCTTCTTGCGCTGAGGGCTCCAGACCTGCAACCTCCAGAGGTCCTGTCTAACCCCAGTTACTCCATGAAACTAAGTCTTAGAAATGTCCCTTCATCCCACCCCCTGACACCAACCAAGGGTGCCTTTGCCCAGCCCTTCCAGACCTATCAGCAAGATGTTGATGTCTCCTCGGATGCGGCTCCCGTTCTCCAGGATCTTCTCCACCCCTCCAAGCAGCATGCAGAGAATGGCCTTCTTGATGTACTCGTGCCCATGGATGCTGGGAGCCAGAGATCTGGCCAACTGGTCAAAGATATCCTAAGGCAGAAGAGGCAAAGCATGGCCCATCACACGGACTGCAGCAGGTAAGAACAAAGCAATACTTCAATAGAACATTTCAGCCCAAATTTCAGCTTATTCCTATCGCAGAGCCACACGGATGCAAACTATTTAGAAAGGAGAAGACCTTTAGCCAGAGTTTTCTTTCAGTGGGACTCTTCTGAAGTCCTGGATCATCCCGTCTCTGTCACCCAAGCAAGCACTGAAAGCAGTGAGAGCAACAATTGCTCCTCTACACACTGTAGAGCAAAGCTCTGAGCATAAGACTAGGTTGGGGTAGTATCTTGCTCTGGTTTGGGGTTTGAAGTAGAAAGAGGGGCTTCTCCTGCAGCGGAAATTCCCTGGAAACCAGCTGGCAGGGTCATGACACAGCAGAGCTGCCAGCAGGAAGGATGCTCTGCCCTGCTAGCAGCACAGAAGCAGCAACAAAAACAACAAGATCTGATCACAGCCTGAGCAGAAAACTCAAAGAAAACAAGTTGGAAAATGCAGCAACGTTGCCAAGAGGGTTCAAGAGTTACTTGCAACCCAACACCCTCCTTAGCCACATGCCAAGCTGCTCTGGCCAAAACTTCATGCCCAGACACAAGCCTGCCTTCCAGATGTGAGACCCAAATACCTTGGAGCGGCTCTTGCTGAATCTCTTGATCTTGGCCACATCAGCAGCAGAGTAGAGAGGCCGCACGTCTTTGCTCATCTGCTTCACGTGGCAGGCGATGAGGATAGTCCTGGAGAAGGGACACAGCTGTGGTCAGGTCTGCAAACCCCAGAAAGACCCCAGAGAACTTCCACTTGCTCTAGGAAGCCCTGGAGGGGGGTGGGAAGCTTCAAGAGCTGTAGCCCCCTCGATCTGACTGCTGTGCCACCAGAGAAGCATCTTTAAGAGCATCCAACCCCCTCTGGGCACAGCTGGAAGTCACAGCTACACACTGTGAGGGGAGACCTCATCACGGGCTGCAGCTTCCTCACAACTGGGCAGCCAAGGGGCAGGCACTGACCTCTGCTCTGTGGCCAGTGACAGGACTTGAGAGAATGGCTGGAGCTTTGTCAGGGGAGGTTTAGGCTGGATACTGGGAAAAGATTCTTCACCCAGAGAGAGGTTGGGCATGGAACAGGCTTCCCAGGGCAGTGGTCATTGCCCTAAGCCGTGGCCCTAAGCCAGAGCTCAAGAAGTGTTTGGGCAACACTCCTGGTGGGATTGTTAGGCCTGTCCTGTGCAGGGCCAGGAGCTGGACTCAGTGATCCTCGTGGGTCTCTTCCAATGCAGAATATTCTGTGATTCTGAGGCTGATGCTCAAGGATCAAGGTGCAAACCACTCCCAAGTGATTCAAGCCACCGTTTGCCCCAGCTCAGTGGTGGCCACCTGGCTGTCCTCGGTCTCACCTTCCAGAGATGTGACCCGACCAAACAGGGTGGGAGGGCTGAAGCCCAAAGAAGGCTCACCTGAAAGTCCCCGAGGTGTATCCCCCTTTCTTCCCTGGCAGGCAGCGGTATGTCCCCACCACCTGGATACGGTCCCCAGGCTTCACTTTGTCCACCAGGTCATCATCCAGAACCACATCCACCGAGCGTGGCAGCTGCCCCGCCGGGGCCTTCTCGGGCATCTCCTGGATGGTGATGGTCTGGTGGTCCTTGTAGACTGAGAGGCCAAACTCTGTCTCCAGGGGGTTGTTCTCTTCATCCTAAAAAGCAGGAACCCCAATAAAAAGATTAGCACCACTTTTCAGGAACACAGGGAGAAGAAGTGAGTCAGGTAAGCAGGAGGAAGACAGGCATCACCCAACACGCACGTGACTGCTGGAAAGGGCTGTTTTAGCAGGACTGAAGGCTGGGCTTTACCAGCTGACACATTCTCCCCAGAGGAACCTGCTGATGCTTCCCACAAGGCTAATTCCCCTCACCTTTGTAGGGTAGATGGCACTGGATGGGAAGGCATCCAGGGAGGTCATGTCCGTGTATCGGCGCTCAATTGTCTTCTTGGTGGCTGGGCAATAATGGACACTCCGGACGATCTTTGGACGAACCAGAGAGCCTGAGGTTGGAAAACAGAGGAGTCAGAGGCTGGGATGTCCCTCCCTTCTGTCAGCAGAGAGTCCTCAGCAGAATCTCCAACACTAAACTGCACGTGGGTCACAATTCCCTGTCAACCATGGACAGGATTTGCTGAGCTCAAAGACCAACCCAACACCCACGACCTTCTGCCAAGCCCCCTGTTCCCTGGCCCAGACTGCCAGGACGCAGAATCACAGAAGGCTTGGGTTGGAAGGGACCTGAAAGACCTCTGGGCAAAGGCCTCGCCACCCTCAAAGGGAAGAATTTCTTCCTAAGATCCAATCTAAATCTACCCTCTTTCAGTATAAAGCCATCCCCCCCTTGTCCTGTCACTCCACGTCCTTCTCAAAAGCCCCTCTCCACGCCACGACTCCTGGAGGGCTCCAGCTCTTCCACAGCAAACACCTGGTCCCACCAGCCCTGGGTTGTCCCCCCAGTCTCACACTTTGTCACGATGCCCTCCACGCAGACGATGCAGCTGAGGAAAGAGGCCGTCAGTGTCCGTGGGGACACGTGCTTGGAGCCAAAGCTGCCCTCCAGCCCGATGTAGAAGTCCTCGTACTGCTTGGCGTAGGTGGCGTCCACGGAGGCAACGAAATCCTTCAGGGCCCGCTGGAAGGCCATCAGCTCCTCAAAGGCATGGCTCAGGAGCCTGCAACACAGGGAGGTGACAATGCAGATGGATCAGCCCCTCCTGCCCTCCTCCTCAGCACTTGTCCCATTTCCCCCACGTGCTCCACAAGTAGGGAAGCACCTTAAAGTCCATCACAGCTCTGTGTGAGGTCCACTGGCACCACATTCAGAAGATGAACAAATCCAAGCACATCCGGGAAATTTCACATGTCCGGTGGGCAAGCCTGATCAAAAATATCCCGAAGCATCCTAAACAAGGCTGAGGGAGCTGTGGGTGTCCTGCCTAGAGAAGAGAAGGCTCCAAGGAGACCTTAGAGCCCCTTACAGTGCCTAAAGGGGCTCCAAGGGAGGTGGAGAGGAACTTTGGACAAGGGCCTGGAGGGATAGAACAAGAGGGAATGGCTTTCCACTGAAATAGGACAGGGTTACATGGGATATTGGGAAGAAATTCTTCCCTGGGAGGGTGGTGATGCCCTGGAAAGGTTGCCCAGAGAAACTGTGGCTGCCCCAATCCTGGAAGTGTCCAAGGCCAGGTTGGACTGGGTCTAACCAACCTGGTCTAGTAGAAGGTGTCCCTGCCCATGGCAGGGAGGTTGGAACCAGATGAGCTTTAATGTCCCAACCCCAGTCATTCCATGATTTATATCATATAACCACCTCCAGTTTGCTGCAAAAGCTTTTTGCCAAAGTTCTAAGTTTACAAGCTTGGAAGGGATGTGTCTCGTGGAGGAAAAGAGCAGGTGGACCTTTTCCATAGGATCTGGTGCATAGGACAAAGTTTGGCCCTTCCCTGCCACAATGGACCTGCAAAACCAGAGCTGGAGCTACCTCTCAGGTAGGTGCCCCCCCTGCCCACCCCCACCTGTTGGCTCTCCTCTCGTTCTTCCGCCGCAGGTCGTTGATGTTGACGAGGAGCCGGCACTGGTTGTCACTGATCATGTCCCGGACCTTGCCTTGGTAAATCCCTTGGTCTTCCTGCAAGTGGCAGCGGGGGAAAGACACAAAAAAACCAACTCATTTTGCATTCCCGCCTCTGTGAGACACCCCCCAGGAGTGATTCCTGCACAGCTTGACTCCCTTTATTCCCTGACAGGGCAACACAGGGACCAAGTGATCCCCCACCTCCCGGAGGTTCATGTGGGGGTGAAGGGGGGGGCACAGGGACCAGATACTGCCCAACTCCCAGGAAGGAAGAAGGGGAGGGTGAGGGGCACAGGGACCAAATGCTCTCCAATACCGAGGGGACATATTTGGGGGGGAGGGGTAGGCACATAGGGACCAAGTACTCTCTAACCCCCCCAGGGGTACATATTGGGGGCGAGGGGGTCACAGGGACCAAGTGCTGCCCAGTCTCAGGGGTTCAAGGGGGTCGGGGGGCAGAGGCACCAAGTGCTTCCCAACCCCGAGGATTCAAGGGGGTGGGGGGGCATAGGGACCAGGTGCTCCCCATCCCCGAGGCTAGATATTGGAAGGGGCATAGGAACCAGGTGCTCCCTAATGCTGGGGGGTCTATAGACGGGGCAGGTGTTCCCCACCCCCGAGGGGTACATATTGTGGGCGGAGAGAGCATTGAGACCAAG